TCGGTTAAGCGTCCGACTTTCGCTTAGGTCATGATCTCGCGGTTCGTGGGTTCGAGCCCCGCGTCGGGCTCTGTGCTGACTGCCAGCTCAGAGCCTGGAGCCTGTTTCAGTCTGTGACTCCCTCTCTCTCTGACCCTCCCCTGCTCATGCTGTCTCTCTCTCTCTCTCTCTCCCCTAGAAATAAATAAAACATTAAAAAAAAAAAAAAGAACCAAGGAATGCAGCGGCCAACACCCAGTGCAGAGATTTCTGTGCCTTCATTCACAGGGTGGCAGTGGACAGAGTTCTCCATCTGTTTCCTGCTGTGTTTGTGAACCATCTCCATCCACTTAATCGTTCACTTGTAAACATCTGTTCTTGTGTCCTGTCTGTGCCCAGCTTTTTAGATACCTTTACTCCGGCTGTTTCTTTCATTGCCACCCAGAAGGGCAGTGCTCCTGGGAGCTCTACACATTATAATTTGGCCAGGAACCCAATCCCTTGCTTGCCGACACCCTCTGCCTTGGGTTTCTCCCCTGGAACCTGGTCATATATCTGGTCTTGTTCAGAAAGTGCTAGTGTGGAGCACTTGAATTTGCCTCTGGAATCTGGTGGGAGTGTTTTAGAAAGTCGTGTGGTCCACTGGATGCTTAGACTGACTTGTGGACCCTCTCGCTTTATTTATATTATTTATTACCAGAATGTTAGGGGTTTCTGAAAACCATTTGGATGCAGCCCAACTTAGAAAAGTCCTGATACGAAGTTGGCTGACTTTGAACAACAGATAAAGCAGAGGGCAGTTAACTTGCTGACCACAGTAATGCAGTGATGCTGATTGCAAATAATGAAGGATATATGCTCATCCCTTGAGTTCTTTGAGCCTTCATTCCCTCATCTGGCAAAAGGATAATAATACTTGCTATGTCTACCCTTCAAAGGTTTGAGATGCTCAGATGAGATAGGTGTGTATAGTCCTTGGTAAATTTGAAAGTATTCTATGACTTTAAGGTATTAACTAATGACTAGTGGCCTCCAGGTCATTTAAAAATGGTTTGATTTACATTTAGTGGAAATTCACTTGTTACGAAAACTTGAAACATGACATCTCAAGGTTATATCATAGCTCAACATTTATAGTCTCATTTCCTCTCTGTAAGGCCTCAGAGGAGAGAAGAGCTGGGTGTCCCTGGGAAGAATTACTGGTTGGGGGGTGGGGTGGGGTGTGTGTGTGTGTGTGTGTGTGTTGGGGTGGGAGGAAGGGTCCAGGGATGGTCCGCTGTCTTTTCTAAGGATAGTGAGTAGAATGCTGTCTTGATAATTTCTTGATAGTGTGTTCAGAAGCAGGCAGCTAGCTGGCTTATTAGCAGTAATATCTCTTCTTTCCTAGGCTTCTTTTGTCCTGAAGGCTCACCTTGCTTGTGTTCACCTCTTGGTTCCATGAAGGTGGCCCTTGGCAAGTAGCGCCTTAGCCATAGGGTGGATGGAAGGGAGGGAACAAAGCCCTGGGCTCCTCCTTCCAGATTTGCCGCTTGCGCTTCTTTCCTCATTGCCTCCTATAGTCTTGTGTTCTCCTGAACGGCTTTTCCAGTTCTCTGTATCCTTAAATCCTCAAATTTGCCTTGCATGCCCCCTAGTGGCAGGTTGGATGCACCCCTGGTTGTGTTACCCTGTGTGTTGTGGTCCAGGAGCAGTTGTTCTCTGTACCCAGTTCTGTTACGGAGCATTAGCCCCAGTCCACAAATGCAGAACGAGAGGTTCTGTGATCCTCACTTGCCCCTCGAGTAGGACCTGTGGAGGTGGGGTTGGAATTGGAACTTTTGATTCCCAGATTTATACAATGGGAATGCCTCAGAAAAAAGATGATGTGGTTATAGCTTTTGTAGATTTTGAAAAATGGTTTAAAAGGAATCTAGATTATTTTGCTGTCTACTCAGATAATCTCAAAGGGCAAAAATGTGAATATTTGAAGGTAAGAATGATCGTCTTTTTTACTCTCTTTATCACATTGGAAAAAATTTTGTCACTTACCAGGTACTCATTATTTCATGATCAGTCCTGTCAACAACTTTGAGGTGTACAAAAAATGCATAAAGCATGATGTCTGCCCTTCAGAAGTTTGTTCTAATTACATCCTAGTTACAAGGTGTTTAAATTTATTCTCTTGAGGAAAAAAATAAGTATAACACGTAACTTATTGATGTTTAATATTTCTACTTCATCTCACTAAAGACAAATTCTCTGAGCATTTGCCTATTTATTTTTTATAAAGTCCTTTTCCGTGGAGAGAGAACCGCAGGATAACAACAGTAATTACCCAGATGAGCCCTGGAGGATAACAGAAGAACAGCGCGAGTACTATGTCAATCAGTTCCGATCCCTTCAGCCTGACCCCAGTTCCTTCATTTCAGGTAATGAAGTCTGATGAGTGAAGAACCTGGGTCCCAGATCTTTGTCTCATGTAGATAACTGTATACGCCTTGAGAAATAGTTCACACAAAATGACAGCCTTTTGTGATTCCAGTTTGTTTCCCTCTATGATTGAATTTCTTATCAACTCTAAACCGTGCAGAAAAATACTTGGCAATGACATTTGGAAAATTATGTTTCTGTTTCAAAGAGGTTAAATGGAATTTGGGGGAACCTGCCCTAGACCTGTGCCTTGTTAGCGGGGGCACTTTGTGAAATGATAGACTGTGGCACCGAGGCGGCACTTCTAATTGCCTCTTCATATTAGAGCAAAGATGTAGCGTGGCCTTCTGAAGAGTTACTGTCACAAGTCTTTTTATGTTATGTACGTTTTAGAAGTCCAAATTCATGCTTGTTTCCTTTGGCTCGAGTCTTTTTGCTCTGGATTTTCTGAGAGAAATGAAAATATGGGAGGAAAATTGGCCACCAGTTTTATGTCCACATGTCTGTTCTTGTGGGTTGTCTTCACAATCTGTATTCCCGTTGAGTTCTCATGTAAAATTCAAACTGAGACAAATTGATTTAATTCCTGTGTGCCTACATTTTACTGGGCTGAAGACTAAACAAACAGTGAAATAATAGAGTCTGGAAGAAAAATTCATAAGACTTAATTTTATACCTCAATTTTGAAGAATAACAATATACCCTCAATAATTGTAACCTGACATACTGAATGTGGACTAATTTTCTCTCAAGAAATAAGGTGTGTAATTGAAATGTATATAGTCAAACATCATTTTCTGATTGGTTGGGAAGAGCAGTATTGAAAGCACAATATTGTAGATACAACAAATTAATGTTGACAACATGACTTAAAAAAATAAGCAGAAACCCAGATTGACCACTTGCTAAGCTTACCCACTGCTTAAGTGAGTTTCTTCACAGTGTATGCAAATAATTAGACAAATACAGATGGGTAGCTCTTAGGAGGGTTTTTATTTTCTTTTAACTTTATTTTGCAGAATTTCAAGTATGGATACAGCTAGAGGGGCTAATATAATGAACCCCTATGTACCTATTACACAGCACCAGTAATGTTGTTTTGTCTATATACTCTCTCAGCACAGATGAGTTTGAAGCAGTTACCAGATCGTTTCATCTGAGAATGTTTCAGGATAAATCTTGAAGGATAAAAAAGACCTCTTTTGAAAACATAATTGCGGTTCATTGGTACACATTTAAAAAAATACAAAACATGTTTCCTTAATGTCATCAAGTCTTTGTTTCCCTAGTTGTCTGACAAATGCCTTTAAAATAGTTTATTCAAGCTCAGAGGGGTTCAGATATTGTGGTTAGGTGATGTCTCTCTTTTTTTTAAATTGTTTTTAATGTTTTATTTATTTCTGAGAGAGAGAGAGACAGTGTGAGCAGGGGAGGGTCAGAGAGAGAGGGAGACACAGAATCTGAAGCAGGCTCCAGGCTCTGAGCTGGCTGTCAGCATAGAGCCCAATGCGGGGCTTGAACCCACGAACCGCGAGATCATGACCTGAGCCGAAGTTAGACGCTTAACCGACTGAGCCACCCAGGTGCCGCAGGTGATGTCTCTTTTTAAAAATCATCTTTATTGAGATATTAGTGTACCATAAAATTTACTCCTGTAAAGTGTACAGTTGACTGGTTTTAGTGTATACAGAATATATTCACAGTCTACATTTAGAACACTTTCATTACCTCCCAACAAATCACCTGCTTATTAGCAGTTATTGCCCATTCCTTCTGTCCCCTCACAGCTCTACATAATAACCAAACTACTTTTTCTCTCCATAGTTTTGCCTCTTTTGTGCTTTTCCTATAAATGAAATCATATAATGTGTGGTCTTTTGTGTTGGACTTCTTTTCTACTTAGCATAATATTTTAAGGTTTATCCAGGTTGTAGTGTGTACTAGAACTTCATTGCTGTTTATGGCTGAATAATATCCACTGTGTAGATATATTGCATCTTATTTATTCATCAGTTGATGAGCATTTGATTTCTGCTTTTTGGCGATTAAGAATAATGCTGCTGTGAACATTTGTGTGCACTATTTTTTTGTGTGGATGTGTGTTTTGATTTCTCTTAAATATATACCCAGGGATGGAATGGCTAGACCATATGGTAACTCTGTGTTGAATCATTGAGGACCAGTCAGACTGTTTTGCTTGGTGGCTGCATTATTTTGCATTGCTACCAGCAGCATAGGGGGGTTCGGCTTACTCCACATCCCCACTGACACTTAACTGTTTGTTTTTTGATTATAGCCATCCTAGTGATGCCAGATGGGCTGAGACTCCTAGAGGGAGGGCCTCAGGCCTCTTGCCATGAGGGTTCTTGGCTTTGTGTGAGAAAATTCAGGAGCAAGCTGTTTAGAGAAAGGGACACAAATTTATTAAGTGTAGAAAAGGAGCTACTTCACAGATAAAATAATGGTCTCTTCTCACAGGTGAGGAAGAAGATTCTTCCCCCCCCCACCCCCAACCCCTTTGCATCTAAAAAGAGTTTTGTGTGTTTTTAAATTAGTTGACTGTACAGGAAGGGGCTTACTCTTTAATTTTGGGTTTATACATTGAATGGTTAGTTTTTCCATTGTCTTGGGGTTGTGAAATTACCCACAGGGAGCAATTTTAGGAATGCCTGGCCTTGGTGGCTTTTCCTGCCAGAGGGAGTGGGGTCTTATGGTCTCCCATGACTCTCTTTATTACCTGCTGACTTTTAGGTTAAGGGTCACCCTAAAACCAAAATGGCTTTACTTTGGTCAACCTGTCTCCCAAGTCTCCCGTCCCTCCTGTCTCACTAGTGGGTGTGAAGTAGTATCTCTTTGGGATATGATGAGTATTTCCCAGATGAATAGTGATATTGAACATCTTTTCATGTTCTTATGGGCCGTTTTGTATATCTTCTTTGGGGGAACTGTCTATTCACATCCTTTGCCATTTTAAATAAATACCGAATGGTAAGAGTTCCTGGTTTGGTTCCAGACCACTGCAATAAAGTGGATATTGCAATAAAGCAAGTCAAATAAGTTTTTTGGTTTCCCAGTGCATATAAAAGTTATATTTACACTATACTGTAGTCTGTTAAGTATGCAATAGCATGTTATCTAAAAAAAACCAATGTACATATTTTAATTAAAAATAATTTATTGCTATAATATGCTAACCATTATGTGAGCTTTCTGTGAGTTGTAATCACTGATCACAGATCACTACAACAAATATAATAATAGTGGAAAAAAATTGAAATATTGCAAGAATTACCAAAATGTGATACAGAGACCTGAAATGAGCAAATGCTCTTGGAAAAATGGCACCAACAGACTTGCTCAACACGAGGATGCCATAAACCTTCAATTTGTATTAAAAAAAAAAATGCAGTATTTACCAAGTGCAGTAAAATGAAGCATAATAAAGCAAGGTATGCCTGTATTCTAGACACATGTTCCTTGTCAGATATTTGATTTGGAAATATTTATTCCCAATCAATGTCTTGGCTTTTTATTTTCCTAATGGTGTCTTTTGGAGCATATAAATTTTTAATTCTGTTGACGTCCAACTTACCTATTTGTTGTTGTTGGTTGTGCTTTTGGTGCCATAACTAAGAGATTGTTGCCTGATCCAAGGCCATGAAAATGTGTATTTCCTCTAAGAAGGTATATATATTACAGTTTTATCTTTAGGATCTTTGATCCATTTTGAGTTAATTTTTGTGTTTTTGTGTATAATATGAGGTAGGTGTTCAAATTTATTTTTTCGCATGTGGATGTGCACCATTTTTTTTGAAAAAAATAAAAGATTCTTTCCATGATTTAATTGTTTTAGCATCCTTGTCAAAATTCAGTTTACTATGAATGTGAGGGTTTATTTCTGAAAGTTAATTTTTTTCCACTGATTTCCCCTGTCTAGTCTAAAGCCAGTATACTATCTTGAGTATTATAGTAGGTTTTGAAATTAGGAAGTGGGAGTTGTCCAACTTTGTTCTTTTCAGTTTTAATAGTTAAAAAAAATTGTTTTAATGTTTATTTTTTGAGAGAGTGAGAGAAACAGTGCATGCAGGGGAGGGGCAGAGAGAGGGGGAGACCATCTCTGAGCTAGCTGTCACCACAGAGCTCGATGCACTCGTGAACCATGAGATCATGACCTGAGCTGAAGTTGGATGCTAAACCAACTGAGCCACCTAGGCGCCCTCAGTATTTCGATTTTGTTTTTTAGGGATTGTACTTTTTGAAATTTAGTTTTATACTTCTATAAAACACACAGTTCTGAATTTGAGTCTACAAAAACGATGAACAAAGTCTAGCTTGTGTTCCTATCCCCTCTACCCCCTGTTCCTTTCTTGTCCCCTTTTTAATGCTTTATCTGTTTTTAAAAGTAAAAACAAATTCATATATGTATGTTTATGTGTATATTCTTATCTTTTGTTAGATAAATGGTAGCATACTATTTGTACTTGTCTCCACCTTGCTTATTTTATTTAGCCCATGTCCTGCTCATGACTCCCTAGTTGCGTGTAGAGATATTTCCCATTGCCTTTCATAGTCATATACTATTAGATTGTGTGATACACAGTCATTTATTTAGCTGGCCCCCTTTTGGGATTATTTGTAATCTTTTGCTATTATACATATTTCTGTTGTGGATAGCCCTCTGCACACATCTTTTTCTGTTTTTGTTATTTTTGTCCATGTATCTTTGGATAGTGTGATTTTACTGGACATTGCAAAATGCTCCTTCATTAGGCTTGTACCATGTTGTCATTTCACCAGCGTTGCAGAAGATGCCTATTTTCCCACAGTCTTGTTCTTGCAACATGTTTACCTACTTTTGTATTTTCCCTCCATTTGATAGGCAAGAAATCATGTGTGGTTCTAATTGATAGATCTCTTATGCAGAAGGTTGAATTTTTAAAAATATGATTAAGACTCAATTGGGATGCCTGGCTGGCTTAGTCAATAGAGTGTGTGACTCTCGATCCTGGGGTCATGATTTTGAGGCCAGTCTTGGGGTAGAGTTTACTTAGGAAATAAAAAAAAAGAGCCAATTACATGTTATTTCTGTGAACTGTCATAGCTCCATCCATTTTTATATTGCGTTATTGGTCTTTATTTTTAATTATTTTTTTCTTTTAAGTGGAAGTTCTTTTTTTTTCTTAGTTTATTGTCAAGTTGGCTTCCATATAACACCCAGTGCTCATCCCAACAAGTGCCCTCCTCCATGCCCGTCACCCCCCTTCCTCTCTCCCCCACCCCCATTAGCCCTCAGTTTTGTTCTCAGCATTCAAGAGTCTCTCATGGTTTGCCTCTCTTCCTCTCCCCACTATTTTTCCCCTTCTTCTCCCCCATGGTCCTCCGTTAAGTTCCTCCTAATCCACCTATACGTGCAACCATATGGTATCTGTCCTCTGCCTGACTTATTTTGCTCACCATAACACCCTCAAGGTCCATCCACGTTGCTACACATGGCCAGATTTCATTCCTTCTCATTGCCATGTAGTATTCCATTGTATAAATATACCACATCTTCTTGATCCATTCATCCATGGATGGACGCTTAGACTCTTTTCATGTTTTGGCTATCGTTGAAAGTGCTGCTATGAACATTGGGGTCCATGTGCTCCTATACATCAGCACTCCTGTGTCCCTCGGGTAAATTCCTAGCAGTGCTACTGCTGGGTCATAGGGGAGTTCTATTGTTAATTTTTTGAGGAACCTGCACACTGTTTTCCAGAGGGGCTGCACCAGTTTACATTCCCACCAACAGTGTAGGAGGGTGCCCGTTTCTCCACATCCTCGCCAGCATCTAGAGTCCTCTGATTTGCTCATTTTAACCACTCTGGCTGGTGTGAGGTGGTATCTCAGTCTGGTTTTGATTTATATTTCCCTGGTGATGAGCATCAGTTTCGTGTGTCTGTTGGCCATCTGGATGCCCTCTTGGGAGAAGTGTTTGTTCATGTCTTCTGCCCATTTCTTCACTGGATTGTTTGTTTTTCAGGTGTGGAGTTTGGTGAGTTCCTTACAGATTTTGGATACTAGCCCTTTATCTGATATGTCATTTGCAACTATCTTTTCCCATTCTGTCAGTTGCCTATTAGTTTTATTGATTATTTACTTTGCTGTGCGGAAATGGTCTTTATTTTTTAAAGATCTATATTTGGTATGTTAACATTTTTATCACTGATATATCAATGCTATGCGTGGTTGTGTTTTTTTTTTTTTTCCTTTTACAGGGCTGAGAGACTCCTTGTGGTAAAAAGTCTGAATCTACATTTTGATGTTTGATTGCTGACAACTGTTTAAAGCCTCACCTCTCCCTCTTTTGCCCCCTATTAGGCTTCCCAGCAGGTCTGAAAATGACTGGAAAGGGCAAGGAAAGGAAGTTGGCTTGGGGTTTCTAGGTTGGCTGGGAATGGGGCAGGAGTGAGGGTTCCAGCTCACTGATGGAACTTCTCTCAGTGCTAAAGGAGGGAGCATGTGGGCTCTCATCAGCGTCCTCCTCTGGCAGGCAGCAGCCAGGGCACACCTGAACTTGGTAGCTGTCAGCTTCCCCATGGACCCTACCTCATCACTTTGGGACACCATGGCAGAACATGCTGTGTACTGTCAAAGGCCGGATGAAGTCTCTTGTTTGGGTTTGGACCTAGTGTGATTTGAAGAAAGGATATTGGGGGGAAAAAGGAAGAAGGGGTTGAGGGGAGGATGTCTTTATATCTATAAAATAGCTGGTAAATAGGCTTTCAAGACATTTTTGACAAATGTTTGACAAGGTAGCTGCATTGATGGCCAACAATCCTATATCGGCATTATTTCTACAGTGCTTCTGGGGAGAAAGCCCATTGGTTAATAGGGCGCTTTGCCTTTATCCTTAATAATCTACCAAAGGAAAATAAGTCTGTTTTAGAATCCATTATAATCCATTGTTTTAAGGCGAATTAGAAGACTTGTGATTGCTAAGGACTTTTGACATTATTGGCTTAGAGCTTGAGGCTTTGATTTGACTGTTCTTTGTGTTAGAATTGAGGCCTTTGAATTTTGAAACTGATCTGAGAGCTAAAACCATAAAAATTTATATGTCATTAAGGATGGGTCTAACCTTATATAGTGCAGTTGGTATTGGAGCAATATAACATGTAAAATGGAATGATTACCTGATTCCAACCGATATTGGTAAATTTGTGATGAATAAAGAAAGTAGCAAGAGGTTCCTGGATGTTTCTCAAAGAGCCACCAAGAGATCTTAAAAATGTCACTGAACTCTTTACTAAGATGTCTATTTTATCTTTGTGTGATGAGATTAATGGCATTAATTTTCTTCTTTTTGCTCTTTTTTTTTTTAAGTTTGTTTATTTTGAGGGGGAGGTGAAGAGAGAGACAAAGTCCCAAGCAGGCTCCGTGTTGTCAGAGCAGAGACTGACACAGGGCTTGATCTCATGAACTGTGACATCTTGACCAGAGCTGAAATCAAGAGCCAGCCACTTAACTGACTGAGTGACCTAGGTGCCCCTAATTTATATATTCTTTTAAAGGCTTTTTAAACGTCTTTTAAACGTCTTTTTTAGCTATATGATTTATAGTTGCTTTGATGAATGTTATGCTTGTTTTATATGGTAGGGATTGCTGAATGAAACAATGGCAGCTCATTTATATGTAAATATAAAAGCTCTTCTAGATAAGTAATCAATGGTTTATTTAAATAGTGGCTCTCTTGGCAGGTTCTGTGGCCAAGAACTTCTTCACCAAATCAAAGCTTTCCATTCCAGAACTCTCCTACATATGGTAAGTACAGTTAATGCCATATTGTATCATACTGTCATTACATACCCATCCCTCAGCTCCTACTTTTGCATTTTGAAAGACTCATCTTTTGAATGGTTTTTAAATATAAATTTTAATTAATTTTTTTTAAATGAAAGAATTTATTTCAAATAGCGTCTTCCCTTGGGGGTGTTAACACCAATTCCCATTCCCATTTATTTATTTATTTAATTTACATCCAAGTTAGTTAGCATACAGTACGGTAATGATTTCAGGAGTAGAACCCAGTGATTTATCTCCTATGTATAGCACCCAGTGCTCATGCCAACAAGTGTCCTCCTTGATGCCCTTGCTCATTTAGCACCCCTGCCACCACAGCCCCTCCAGCAACCCTCATTTTGTTCTCTGTGTTTTAGAATCTCTTATGTTTTGTGCCCCTCCCTGTTTTTATATTATTTTTGCTTCTTTTTCCTTATGTTCATCTGTTTTGTATCTTAAATTCCACACATGAATGAAGTCATATGATAGGTCTTTCCATTCTTTTTGATTGGCAAGTGATATTCCATTGTGTATGCGTATGCCACATCTTCTTTACCCTTGCATGTTTTTTTTAAACAGACGAAGAGAGTGAGTAGAACTTCAGATTTTTGTTGCTGTGAAGATTATCTAAGTTATATGAAAAGCACAATGATCAGAGTCTGGCACGCACTAGGCCTTGTAACTGTTAGCTGTTATTTAAAAATTAATTTCTCAATTACTGTCCTCCTCTAGATCCCTTTCCTGTCTAAACAACTGTGTGGGCACAGGAGCATTTCCATCTTGTGAATTTTATTTCTGGATATTTCTGTTCGATATGATGCAAGTAACCAGAGGCTCTTGAAAAGCTATTCTTTACAGTATGTTCTGAGGCCAGGTGAACAGAAGGTCCACAGACGTTTTGAAATAAAGTCAAATGTGACTCTTCTAGCTGCCTCTGAGCTTCATAAACTGGTGTGTATCAGCGGTGGCGCGCACTGCACCTTGTCGCCGCGCGGGCACGGTCCCGATGGCTGGTTTGCGTTGACAAAAACCCTGGTCGCCTCTGTAAACTCCTGGCTGTGTGTGGGCTCTTCATCCTCAGGCCTGGCTGGGAGACCACACTGCTGTAGATCTATAATTAAAACCCTGGAATATTTATGTAAGACTTTTTTCATGAGAATTTACAGAAATCGTGGTAGGACTTAAAATTGCCTGTCGTGTTTTGTGCATTTTATTGGAAAACTATTCCAATAACATTTGTGCATGCCAGTGTATCTGGGATTCTGAGCTGGATTTAGGTTCTTCAGTGATATAGTCTAGCATGGTTTTTCTTTTTTACAACAAGCCTTATATTAGATTTTAAAGCTAGGGGAAGAAAAGAAATGATCATTTTGAAAAGAGTACACTCCATTTTGGCAGAATTCCCAGTATTAACATTATCGGCATGAGGCCTCCTCTCTCTTTGTGGAGACCTATCTGTGAAAGCTGAATGGTATTCTCTCCACACAGCCTTTGAAACAGTTCCCTGACTCCTCACCCTGGGGGAGCTGCTCCTTCAGGGTGCATTCTAAGTACTTGAGGGGAGCAGGCTGTGAATGTCCAAAGGGAAGTTAGGGAGCTTACCTTCTATATTTCTTTTGAATAGTGACACCTTGCCAGCGCAGTTGAATGTCATTTTTACTTGTCCCAGCACAAGAATATTGTCTCTACGCACCTATGAGGCTCCTTGAGCTTACAGTGTCTTAGATACTTTGGCAAATAGGTTTATTTTGTGCTGAGTAAACAGGTTTGTGCCTTTCAGTGGGAAACAATGACTGAAGCAAAGATAAGCCTTTTCAAGACTCTCCCTTTCTGTCTTTCTGTCTTATCTACTTCCAGCCTTCCCAAGTTGCTAGTTTTATCTGAAAACATAATTCAGCCAGTGTTTATTGGACTTACTTGTATTTTCCCAGGAGGGAATTCTCAAGCAACTTTTTGGTACGTTTATGTGACTTGAAAAGTTTAAGATTATTCCTTAAAACTGAAAACCAAAGTGCTTATCTGTGGGCCCGGCTGCGTGTGCAGCGGCTGGGACAGCTACGCGGGCCGAGGCCAGCCCTTCCTCCGACTGTTGCGGGCACCGGGTCCGGGGCTCTTTACGCGGCGCGGTTACCGAACAGCTCTCAACTGACCGGTCTTACTTTCCTGTTCGTGCTCTTTCCTGTTTTAGTGTCTTGTCCCGTGTGCTCAGTGTTGTAAATTAGACCTGCCGGGGAACCCGAGGAGGATAAAGTCTCGTGTATAAAGTGCCACTGGTGCCAGTGCTGTCAATCAGCATTTGTCCTCCAGGTGCCCCCTGAGGTTTCATAGGGGCTTGAGGACTTTGCAGGGCCACCCCCAGAGAGCCTGGGAGTAGTGCTTGCATGTCCAAGGCTGAGTAACTTTTCCTCTAAGCCCTGTGTTCAGTGCTTGGGACATGTTGTATTTAGGGAACTGAGTGATGCCGACTGCGATGGAGCCCTGACCCTGCCTGAGTTCTGTGCTGCTTTTCATCTCATTGTGGCCCGGAAAAACGGCTACCCGCTGCCTGAGGGCCTGCCTCCGACTCTGCAGACAGAGTACCTGCAAGCAGGTAAGGTCTCATCAAAATCCTAAACCTTCGGCATTTTCCATCCAGGCCTTATAAGAACTTGTTGTGTCTTAAGGTGGTGTCCAGGCACCTGGCAGAGTCCTTCGTATCTAAAGTAGTAACTGTCCTATAATTGATATTAGACTCTCACATCTTAATAATGTAATAGGATGATGTGGGTAAGTGTGAGTTACGGGTTTCTCCTATTCTAGTGCTCTCTGGATGGATTTGTAATCATTCCTTTACCCTTTCATGAAAATTACGGAGTAGGCAAGTACTGAACCTCTCAGCTGATACAAAATGAACAGGCAGATATTCCTGTAGAGCTAAGTGCTGATTTGGCTACTTTAGGTACATCCCAGTGTCTCTAGGTGGCTTCTTACACCCAATGAAGAAGTTAAAAATTACATGCCATGAAATGTGCAGAGTGCGGTGATCCTAATGTACTCTTGATGAATTTTTACATCTGTATATACCCATGTAATTGCAATCAGATAAAGATAGAGAACTCCAGCACACCCCAGGGTTGGAATAGAGCTCCTTGTCTTTCTCCTTAATAAAGCTATTACCCCCAAACCCTTTTGATAAGAGTCATGGTGAGTCTAACATTTTTATCCATTGTTTTGGAAGACTGGAAAATTAAGTGTCTCTTGCCCTTTTCAAAGGCAGTGGACAGTGATACAATTTCTATTATTCAGAGAAGTATAGCTTCCGTTGGAAGGGTCCAGAAACAGCTGGTACTATCAGTAACCTTTCTCACTGTTTAGGGAAGATCTCTTAAAAACATGAGAGCTAGGGGCGCCTGGGTGGCTTAGTCGGTTAAGCGTCCGACTTTCGCTTAGGTCATGATCTCGCGGTTCGTGGGTTCGAGCCCCTCGTCGGGCTCTGTGCTGACTGCCAGCTCGGAGCCTGGGGCCTGTTTCAGTCTGTGACTCCCTCTCTCTCTGACCCTCCCCTGCTCATGCTGTCTCTCTCTCTCCCCTAGAAATAAATAAAAAAAACATTTAAAAAAAAAAACAAAAAAAAAAACCATGAGAGCTAGTTGTGGATGATTATTGGCAGGAAGGAGCAATGTCTAAGGAAACTGTGATTAGTCATTAATAGAGGATAAATGTTGTGGTTAGATCCAGAAGAGGCCCTAGATTATCATGTCCTGTCGTCTCATAATGACACTATATTCAAAGTGGCCAATGACTTATCTAAGTCAGCCTTGGGTTCTATGATTCTTAAATAAAAAGTTTGTCATTTTCTGTATTTGGTAGTGAGGGGGCCAGGGCCAAACCAAAGAGAAGAGACCAAGTATGTGGCTGGTGCCAATGGCAGGTAAACATGTTTCGGGAGGAGTGACCCATTCTGGGATCTTCCCCAAATGCCTCCATAAAATATATAACAGGGAGGGTTCAGAGAATGGAGGCTACTGCTCATTTCAGAGCTTAGACTTTGCTAATAGCAGCTGCTTTCTGACTGCAGTAGGCTGTATACCCTTCCTTCCAGGCTGGGGGAGACCCTCATGGGCCCCCAGGAACTAGTTTGCAATTGGGCAGCATGACACACTGCTCTGTTTCCTCCTTGGTGTCTGTCTCTCTCTCTTTTTTCCTTTTTCTCTCCATTTCTCTTGGATTGAGGCAAAGAAGCACTGCATAGGTGCACTGCATAGACTTGGCAACTGCATAAGTTTCATAACTGAGTCAGTACGGGGTCATCCAGGAGCCCCTTCTCCTGGGAGCTGGGCCTCATGGGGCTTTGTCTCTTTCTAATGTGGAGGATGAGCAGCTGACCAGAGGGCCAAGGTCTGCTCCAGGGCTAGTTAGTTATATTTAATACCATCACTGTTGCCTATTGTGAGCCATGGGGAGAGTTCTGGGTAACCTATCTCCCATGGCCACTCCTAGCTTTTTCTTTTGGGTCTTGATTAATGCTTTTGTATTGTTCTGATGCCCACTGGCCATGGAACCTATGCCAGGTGTCAGGACTCCTTGTTTGAGAAGTCACTTTGTAGGTATCCAAGTATTTCACAGACTGTTTCGAAGGTCACTAATAAAAAAATCCCTCCACCCCCAAGGTACAAAATTAGTTTTTGCTTGGCCCACCAAGCACTTTATTTATTTACTTATTTAATAAGTAATATAATTTATTGTCAAATTGGCTAACATACAGTGTGTACAGTGTGCTCTTGGTTTTGGGGCTAGATTCCTATGATTCATCGGTTACATACAACACCCAGTGCTCATCCCAACAAGTGCCCTCCTAATGCCCATCACTCATTTCCCCTCTCCCCTGAGTGGCTGAAATTAACAACTCAGGAAACAACAGAAGCTGGTGAGGATGTGGAGAAATGGGAACCCTCTTGCACTGTTGGTGGGAATCACTAGTAAAAATTAAAAAACTCTGAAGGCCCTGAGCCAAAAGTATGTTAACAGAAGACAAGGAGCATTTTGATTCCTTTATTGCTGCAAATGACTGCTTTTGCCTTGCTTATGGAGTGTGGTGGGAGGGGGAGGGTCTGTAAAAGAGTGCCAGTCACCAGGCACCTTTCTTTCATTTGTATTGAAGCCCCTGGTTTGTTCCTGATCTTTTATACGAAACAACTGAAAAATCCGTGACATACCCTTTAATTAAACAAAGACTTCACATCATTTCCAGAACTTGTGGGATTAATCTTAAATAATAATTATATAGTTCTAACAAAAAAAACCTGAGGGATCTCAGAAAACCTCATCAGACTCAGTGATGGTATATTTTAGGCAAACCCTGAGGGTTTTAGCATTTAGCTTTTTAATGCTTTATCACTCATGTTTATCTTTGTATACAGCACAATAAAATGGCCAGAACTGTTTAGGTTTTCTCTGTGCTTTGAGACTTTGGAAAATATGAGTGATTCTGTTCATTTTGGGGGTTCATTTTTAGGGTATCCCACTTGCCCTTTTTAAAAGCTTAGTTCCCGTTCCAGCTTTTTTTCTGAGAAGCCTACATTCAGTCTTTTACAAAAATGTAATCCAGGTTTCAACAAGATTGGTGAAGAGTATAAATTCGGTTGATACCATCATGCATTTACCTTTATACAAGCCTGTTTTCAATAAAATAATGAAACAAATTGTTGTGTCTGATTTTTTCCCCTAACAGTGAAACTTAAAGGACACCGTTGGAAGGAAAAGTTGGTTTTTTGGTAGCTTACACACGGGCCTTTTGATATTATCCTGTCTGCGTGACCGGGTAGATTCTGGTATAGATTTTTACTGTAGAGTTTGTTAAAAATAATTACGTAAGAAGCACTGGGTTATTCTTTGTGGTCAGAATGCTGCGTTCAGAAGAGTGTTCCTACTGTCCTGGAACTTGCTGGCAGTTAGAGGATCGATGGTAAATAAACTCCTGCACCTCATAATTGGAGGCAGTGGTAGGTGCCGGGAAGGGGAGGTGCAGCTGCAGCTGCAGCAAGAGAGTGGTCACCTCAGGGAAGGCTTCCTTAACTGTTGGAGCTGACTTGTGAAGGATGAGCTAAGGGCCATGGAGGTGAAGGAGGGGCAGAGTAGGCTCTGGGCAGAGGGGACAGCAGGTACGCTGCAGAGGCCCAGAGAGGCGGCTTGGAGCATTGGAGGCATGGAAACTTCAGGCCACAGTGGCTGCAGTGCAAAGAGCCAGGGTGGGAGTGGCTGAGGATGAGGCTGAAGGTACGGAACAATGACTGGCAGTGACGTTGATGGCTTTTAAGCAGGAAAGGGCCTCAATCAGATCTGCTGTTGGAAATGATGGTGCTGGTTGCTGACTGGAGAGCAGGTTTTGAGGAACAAGGGTGCAAACTGAAAGACCAGGTTATGACACCAGTCCAGTCAGGACCACAGCGCCTGGCACTCGGGAGGGGACAGTGGAGTTGGAGAGATGGGGACAGGCTAGAAAGAGATTTAGTAGTTAATGATGGCATTTGTAGTTTTTGAAAGCGTTACCTTTTTACATAGCAAGACCCTCTCATGATAAAGCTTTAGTCACGTAATTCTAGTCAGATCACTGATTGGTAAGCTAGAAACAGAAATCTAATCTGGGTTAAAGCTGCTCTTGTGGCTTTAATGCAGAATGGGACTTGGAAAGTTGTTTTGCTGAGTTTCTACCAAGGAAATGAGATCCCCTAGTTTAAGTCAGAAGAATCGCCAGGACCCATGGTTTGCCCTACCTGATATCAGTGAAGTTCAGACCAGAGTAAGCAAATGAACAATTTAAGGTGCTCGTCCTCAACTGTACAAGTTGAGTAGCTGTTAGTCACGGCCAGTACTTTACTGCATATGGAAGTTGCCATTTCGGACTCTGGTGGAGGTGGGGGAGTGAAAAAGGGTTAAAAACGTCAATCCATTTTTGACATTTGATTTAAATTTTTTTTAAGTCTGTAAGAAAAAATTTTTTTAAATGTTTATTCTTGAGGGAGAGAGCGAGCGAGACAGAGCATCAGTGGGGGAGGTGCAGAGAAGGAGAGGAACACAAAATCTGAAGCAGGCTCCAGGCTCTGAGCTGTTAACACAGAGCCTGACACGGGGCTCGAACTCACGAACTGGGAGATTGTGACCTGAGCCGAAGTCGGACACTTAACTGACTGAGCTGCCCAGGAGCCCCTGATGCAAGAAATTTTTTAAACCTGGCTTAAAAATTTTGATTTCTTAACAGCTGGTCTTGACAAATAATGTAGCTTCTGGTTACTGTCTGTCTGCCATGATCTGCTTTTCCTTTTTGGGATATTGACCAATTTTCTGGTTGAGACATTTCCTTCTTAATTACTTAGTGGCAAAGTGGTGAAACAGGATCTGCTTCTCAGAAATGGTGTGTGTTGAATATTAGTTTCCACTTAGCTACCTAGCTAACATAACAGCCTCTGTCTCTGTTCTGTGTTCACAGAAACCCATAATGAGATTCTTCTTTCCTTGTAAATCAGTAAGAACTTGTGCTCTTATTTTTGTTATTCTGCTAAACAAATGAATATTTTAGAGTTTTCTGGGGCACCTGTCATTGCAAGATCTTGTCTGTTTCCAACAACAGCAGCTAAAATGAAGTATTTCCATAGTTAATGTTTATAGCGTTAAGACTATCCCCATAGTTGCTGCCATTTAAAAATTGTGCTGGTAGCGTAGTTAAAACTTCAGTATTGTGATAGTGAAGGTCACTACTATGTTACAATGTAAATGCTAGAAGCATGTACATTCCCGCAGTACTGCTGGCCTGGTGGTTCAAGTCGCTACTCTTCCATTTACCAGCCGTCTGACCTTGAGTAATTGCCTCACATATAAAATGGGGAGGACAGAAATAGTAGGTTGTATGTGTACAGAACTGAAAATACTACCTCCTTGTGATCAGTGCCATAACTAGTATGTCAGTACCAGCTGTTTTATTGTAATATTTAATAAGCACAGAAAAGCTGATAGGAAACAATGCCTGCTCTGAGTATAATAGATGTTCTTATGTATTCTTTTTGTTTTTCTCTTAGCTTTTCCTAAGCCCAAGTGGGAGTGTGCATTATTTGATTCTTACTCTGAGTCAATGCCTGCAAACCAACAACCCCGTGACTTGAATCGGATGGAGGTAAAAGATCTTCATATGGTAATAAATAAGGATGTGTGTGGAATTGAATCCATAAACCCATGTTCTTTACAAACTCCAGAAAATCCACTTTCATAACATTTTCTCTTCATGCTGTGTACTTACGTGGAGGCTTAGCCTGTCAAATCTGGATACCAGGTATATCTTATAATTACCTATTTTCTTTTCTCCCTAGAACTAGATTTAGTGAAACAAGCAAGACAGTCTCTTGACCTTCTAGGGGTGAAGTTTAAGTGTAGACAAACTAAGCCAGAAGAATGTGAGCCAAATTGTTAATTTTAACCAAGCTTTAATTTTGAAGTAAAGATTGTCAAGTATTTTTAGTAGTTGAGTATAAACAAGGTCTAATGGAGCAGGACAGTTTTAGGAGGAAGCTTGAGAACTATGTAAGAGGATCCCAAATCACATTTAAACCCCTTCTCCCTCAGGGTGTTTAGTGTTTAGACCAAATGAAGACTGGTTTGGATTATCCCAAGAGAAACCTGTAGAATTCCTACACTGTTGGGCCATTGACGATGTTGGGGCCTAGCCACATGCCTAGTGGTCCTTAGGTATGCATCAATAAATCAGAGTCATTATGGTTATTGTCAGTATCAGCACAATCTTCATCATCATCATCATCGCTGTTATGATTGCTGTGATGACAACTTATGACGTCTGCTGTTGCCATCCTAAAAACAAATCTGGATATGTGTAATAAATGGAGATTTATTCATAGGCTGCTATTGTCCAGAGACCCTGGTTAAAACTGTAGCAAGATGATTGAAGTCAGAGGCAGGATACAGGGCCGTTTGTTTAATTGATTGCAACTGTGTGTGATGATTTATTCTTTTCCATGGGGCTCTCAGGCCTCCAGTCTGTGTGGCCTTGACACCGTCTGCTCTTCGGTGACAGAACCAGCTGCTTCTGCAGGGCTTGCTCTGCTAACGCCTCCCTTGGCCTCCCTGGTACTCTTTATTGGAGTCATAGCCTCTGTTATTTACTCAACAGATTTCTACTCAAGGGAAAAAGGTAGAAAGTGGTATGAGGAGTGATAGATGTGCATTTGAAGAGTTTTAGCTTTTTACGTTCCTTATTTTGCAGAAGGTGTATGATGGAGAAGCAGGTAGAATAGTTAGTTAGCCACTTTTCATGGGCCTCTGTGTACTCTGGGGCTGCTGGCCGTGTCTGGAGGCTTACGTGGTTGTCCTGCTTCTGTTTTGTTTGGTATGGGTCCCCCTGCTTGTGTAACATTTTGAGGTTGTTAGGTGATTTATTAAAAAATGTCATAAACTCTTATTTCTAGAATGCACTCAGGTGATCTCTGCCCTTCCAACAGAAACAAATAATGCTGTGTTTCTGAGAAATTCGTTACTGGCTTGTGTTGCTTTCCCGCATGTAGTCATTTATCGTCTGTTTTAAAGGAAAAGAGCAAATGTACAGTTAGCTGTGAAGTCTGTGAATGCAGATACTTTTAAATACACACTCTGATGTCCTTGATGACATTTTTGATGTTCAACTTTATGGATGTGATGTACAGCTAGTTTTGTTATATACTTTTGTAGACTTTAACTGTCTCTTTTGGTGGGGGTGGGGGTGGTCTTTGCCCTGTCCAAACAAAAGAGCAAAACAACAACAGCAGCAACAACAAAAACTCTTTCCCAACAAAATTGCTACATTCCAGGGCGGAGTGCTTTTACATAATGACGTAATACACAGAATTCAAGGACAAAGTAATGAGGTTAATTAATGCTTTGGCCATTCAAGAAGTATATGTCAAATTTAAGTAGCTAATGATTAAATATTTCATTGTCTTCTACTCCATTTATTGTTCTTTCTACCAGTCTTTTAATCTCTCATGAATGCATGCATGGGATTTAACTAGATCTTGGTACTAGCCCTGTGAGGGGTAGCTCTGTATGGGTGTTTGTGGTGTGGAGAAAGCTGTAACTGATTTGGGTCGTGAGACATTTGCTCAGCAGTACAGATCAGATCTCCAGATAGCAGAGAGGTAACCATGTACTTGTTTCCTTCAGGAATTAAAGATAAATTTCAGGTAAACTCCTCATTAGCAGTGCTTCTTAAAGTTTTGTTTTCTTAATTTATCTTATTTTTTTCATTTTATTTATTTATTTTTTTTTTTGAGAGAGAGAAAGCATGAGTGGGAGAGGGGCATAGAGAGAGACAGAGGGAGAGAGAGAATCACAAGCAGGCTCCAGACTGTCAGTACAGAGCCTGACGTGGGGTTTGAACCCTTGGACCACAAGATCATGACCTGAGCGAAGTCAGAAGCTTAATTGACTGAGCCACCCAGGCGCCCCATAGCAGTGCTTCTTAGATTACTGGATTGCTTTCCCTCGTAAACAGCTTTACTAACATATAATTCACATACTATACTCATCTAAACCATTCAATCCAATGGTTTTTAGTGTATTAACAGAGTTGTGCAATCATCAGTACAGTCTAATTTTAGAACGTTTTTTGTCACCTCATTAAAGAAAGCCTGTACTCTTAGCCGTCATTCACTATTCCCTCCACCCTGCAGCCTCTGGTAATCAGTAATCTATTTTCCATCTCTGAATTTGCCTGTTGTGGACATTTCATATAGACTCCTACGGTATCTGGTTTTTCTGTGACTGCCGCCTTTCATGTAGTGGAATGTTTTAAAGTTCGTGTCATAGCGTGTGTCAGTGCTTCATTCCTTCCGTCCATTGTGTGGCTCTGCCACGTTTGTCCATTCTTCAGCTGATGGACGTTGGGCTTGTTTCTGCTTTGAGGCTGTGAGGACAAAATGTTACTGTGAACATTCATGTACCAGTTTTTGTGGGAACATCCTGTTTTGAGTTCTCTTGGGTGCTTACCTAGGAGTGGAATTGTGTGTGTCATATTGTAACTTGTGTTTAACTTTTTGAGGCACTGCCAGAATGCTTTTCCAAGTACCTACAGCATTTTACTTCCTCTACCAGTAATGTATGAGGTGTCTTGTTGCTCTCTATCCTTGTTAATGCTCTTTATTGCCTGCCTGTCTGGTTTTAGCCATCCTAGTGGGATTGAAGTGGTATCTCATTGTGGTTTTGATTTAAGTTTCCTAATGACGACTGATGTTGAACATCTTTTCTTGTGTTTTAGCAGCAATTTTAGATTTTCTTTGAAATCTCTCTTCAGATCCTTTGTCCATTTATAAATTTGGTTACTATTGAGTTGTGTTTGTACGTTCTGAAGATCCTCGTTAGATATATAATTGGCAGATATTTTCTTTGTTGTTGTGTTTTTTTTTTTTTTTTTTTTGGCCTTTTTAAAAAAAATTCAAGTTCACATACAGTGTAGTATTGGTTTCAGGAGTTGAACCCAGTGATTCGTCTCTTACATACGACACCCAATGCCCATCCCGACAAGCGCCTTCCTTAATGTCTGTCATCCATTTAACCCCCCCCTTCCAGCAACCTTTAGTTTGTTCTCTGTATTTTAGTTTCTTATCATTTGCCTCCCTCTTTGTTTTAATCTTATTTTTACTTCCCTTTCCCTATGTTCATCTATTTTGTTTCTCAAATTCCACAAATGAGTGAAATCATATATTTGTCTTTCTCTGCCTGACTTATTTCACTTAGCATGAAACAGTGTATTTTCATCCATGTTCTTACAAATGGCAAGATAGCATTCTTTTTTTTACTGCTGAATAATATTCCATTGTATATATACATCTTTTTTATTCATTCATCAGTTGATGGACATTTGGGCTCTTTCCATAATTTGGCAGTTGTTGAAAGTGCTGCTGTAAACAGTGGGGTGCATGTGCCCCTTCAAATCAGCATTTTTGTATCCTTTGGATAAATGCTTAGTACAATGGCTAGGTCATAGGGTAGTTCTATTTTTAATTTTTTGAGGAACCTTCATCCTGTTTTCCAGAGTGGTAGTACCAGTGTGCATCCCCACCAGCAGTGCAAAAGGGTTTCCCTTTTTCTGCATCCTTGTCAACATCTGTTGTTTTCCTGAGTTGTTAATTTTAGCCATTCTGACAGGTGTGAGGTGGTATTTCTTTGTTTTTCTTTTTCTGAGAGTGTCCTCTGCAACACAAATACTTATTTTAATGAGGTCCAGTTTGTCTCTTTTTTTTCTTTTGTTGTTTCTGCTTTTGGTGTCCTAGCTAACAAACCACTGTCTAACAGAAGCTCACCAATAACTGGCTCCTATGTGACCTTCTAGGAGTTGTATAGTTCTAGGTCTTAGATTCAGGCCCGTGATCCAGTTCGAGTTCATTATTGCATATGCCGTGAGGAAGAGGTCCACCTTCATTCTTTCATATATGAATATCCAGTTGTCTCAGCATCGTTTATTAAAAAGACAGTCCCCCCCCCCAACATAGTTGTTTTGCACCTTTGTTGAAAATCAGTTGACTATAAATGTAAGGGTTTATTTATGGATTCTTAATTCTTTTCCGTTGATCTACATGGATGTTGTAATGCTAGTACCACACTGTCTTGATGACTATAACGTTGTGGTAAGTTTTGAAATAGGGAAGTCTGAGTCCTTCAATTTTCTTTGGTTCTTTTTAAAGGATATTTTTGCCCTTTTGGGTCCTTGCATGTCCGTATGAAATATAGGACAAGCTGTTCAAATTCTGCAAAAAAGTGAAGAAGGATTGCACTGAATCTGTAGATGAATTTGGGGGAGTATTGCCATCTTAGCAATATCGAGTCTTCTGACCTATGAGCATGGGATGTCTTTCCATTTCTTTAGGTTTTGAAATTTTCTTTCAGGGGTAGTTTTTTTTTCTTTTTTGGATAACTTTTTATCTATATTTTCTGATCCTAAATCATTTTCTTCTACCTAGGGATCTAGTTGATAATCCAGGTGGGAGAAGAAAATGAAAGAAAGGCACTGTTAAGATACATTCTCTGTTCTATTGGAGATAGTAGACTTTGAATAGGAAATTGTATCTGGAGGCTTGATGGTCATGTCCAGGATGATCTGCTGAGGACTGTTAAATCCTAGGTCAGGTTACCGGTAGCAAGCAGCACACAAGTATTGCTGATCTCACTGGGGTTGTTCAGATCCTGAGAGGCAAACCAGTGAACCTTTAGGAGCACATTTACCCTGCTTCCTTTTAGTTTTGTTTGATTTTTCTGAATGTGTTTAAAATTAAAAGAATATCAAAAGGCATATAGTGGCAAGTCTTCCTCCCATTTTCCCCATCTGCTGAGTCACCCTTCAATTTTTATGTATCTTTCTAGAATTTGTTTATATATAGTAAATACTAATATATATTATTCTGTAATATTATCAAAAGTCTCAGAGTGCATATTTAGACTTTGTAAGAAATAAATTTATAGTCAGTTTTTAAACAAAAATTTAAACGATCAATACTTGATCAATTTGGGTATTCTGTCTTATTAGTATTACTGAAGACTTCCCCTAAGTGAGTTAGGAGAATATTTTGTTCTGGCCATCAGTAAAATTACCTTATTCCTTGACAAGGAGGCTGTTTGAATCAGACTGTTGAACACTCTCTGCATAACAGATTTTGGCAAATACCCACATTATAGGGCTCCTTGTCAGAACTCTGCTTGTGAAACAGTACAGAAAGTGCACGTTGGTTTTGGACAGAATGGGCAAACGCTACACAGTTCTCTGGCTGAGTCCCACACCGGATTCAGATTTAATGTGCAGTCTATACATCTGTCTAAATATGAATCGTTATGTTTTTTTTCTCTGCATATGTAAATTTCCTTTTTAAAAAAAATTTAAAATAATCTCTTCACCCATTGTAGGGCTCAAACTCCAAGCCCTGAGATCAAGAGTTACATGTTCTACTGACTGAGCCAGCCAGGCACCCCACATGTAAAATTTCAATACAAATTAACTTATACCTCACTAAGAGCCCCCTAAAATAAAAAAAGTATTAAATGTCAGGGTTTACTGAAGAAAGAAATATGGGCAAGATATGTAGCTTTTCTAGCCTTTTCATTATATGTACACATAATGTAATTTCCATTTCAACCTGTATAATGTATTTACTTTTCTTTTCCAAGAAGCTATCTATTAAAGACATGGCTGACTTTCCTGTCCCAACCCAAGATGTGACTAGTGATGACAAGCAAGGTATGGAAAGAATGAGTTTTCTTCCTTTAGGGACATTCTACCTGTGTTTCCTCATTCACTTCTCTTGGAATGGCTGGCTTCTGAAGCATGTGGTAACAGGAGCTTGCAAAGCCCCTCAACTCATCTGCCCCTTACTCACCTCTGACCCCTTGCTTGGAATTTGGTCATACTAATTAGGAGATGACCGGAAGCTGAAAGAATTGAGAGCTTAACATCTTGGGTTGGCAGAGGTGATCCCAGAACATCAGTATAAATGCACATTTGTACACAGGTCTAATCCTTGAGGAAGTCCTCCTTCTGGAGAGAGTTTCTGTCCCTGGGATTTATCTTCTGTTACTTTGTGGGTGTGAGGCTATGTCAGGGAGCCAGCGGCCATCTGTCAGTCTTACCGGGCGCGTGAGAAGCAGTGCGGTATGGTTTTCCAGGTTGGCGCTACCGTTAAGCACAGAGATGAGTTGGCTTGGGACTAGGTAGAACAGGAGGACCTCTCCCCGCCTCCCACCACTCCATATAATGCTTTATGATCTCCCAGGCCCTTCCTCCTCCACTGCCTTATTCAGTTCTCACAAAGTCGAGCGGAGGCTAGTATGTCTTACCACCTAAAATATAGAGATGAGTAAACCGAAATTCAGGCAGTATGAATTACTTGCTTAATAATAAAAAGAGTAGAGAGAAGAATAAAGATTTTCAATATTTTCTGAGTCTCAGGCCCGTATTCCTTTTATTACCTGAAACTGATTTACTACCCATGAATGAGAGGCTTATCTGAAGGGGCTAAAAATCAGTGAAGCTATTTCAGGTTTTATTGTCCAGACTTGCCATTGATGCAGCCTTGTACATGAGTTAAACACGAAAAATAAGTTTTCCATTAGGAAACAATAATTGCTTGCTCTCTATTTAAATATTTGTGCAGGAGCACTCTCCACAATAGCTAAAACATGGAAAGAGCCTAAGTGTCCATCAACAGATGAATGGATCAAGAAGATGTGGTTTATCTATACCATGGAATACTACATGGCAATGAGAAAAAATGAAATCTGGCCATGTGTAGCAACATGGATGGACCTTGAGGGTGTTATGCTGAGCGAAATAAGTCAGGCAGAGAAGGACAAATATCATATGTTTGCACGTATAGGAGGATTAGGAGGAACTTGACGGAGGACCAAGGGGGAGAAGAAGGGCGGAAATGGTGGGGGAAAGGGAGAGAGGCAAACCATGAGAGACTCTTGAATGCTGACAAAAACTGAAGACTGATGGATGTGGGGGGGAGGGGGGGATGGGCATAGAGGAGGACACTTATGGGGATGAGCACTGAGTGTTATGTGGAAACTAATTTGACAATAAACTATTTGTAAAAAAAAAAAAACAATAAAAACCTTAAATAAAAAAAAATAAATATTTGCTCAGGAGTGGCAGGCAGAACTAGACATTTTTTTGCAGCAGTCTGTACTCTGATCACTGTCTTTCCTAGTGGGTCTTACCCTTGATTGCACCTTGGAACAATGGGCCCTAAACTACTGAAGCCCACATCTCACTCCCAGAGAGATTCTGATGTCATTGGTCTGGATGTCAGGAATGAAAGAGGGAGATTTCTGGCACCTGCTGGTAATACTCCTCCTGGCCACTAGAGGTGCTCTCGGTTGAACGTTGTAAATTTGGCTATGTTCTTTGTGGGATGAGAACCTATTTCCCTACTTCAGGGACTCTCTGTTGTTTTAGTGCTGTAGCAACCTATAGAGGTTTGTAACACTGTTTTCATAAGTGAGGACTAGGGATTCTTGGTTTTAATGTGCCTCAGAAATAAAATTTTACAGTTTTTTTTCTTTTCTCCTCCTTTCTCTTGTTCTTTAAAGACAAAACACGTGTAGGTTTGAAAAGTACTACAGATGAAGCCTTACCAAAGGACACGTCTGAGGACCAAGGTAGGAGAAGACAATTTCAATATATTTTTCTGTGATTACTTTCTCATTTAAAATACCTAATAGTTTCAGTGAGTAGAAAATTGCTGGTTGAGCATGTTTCTCCCTAAATATTTGCCTTGGGTTTTATTATAATGAAATCTTTTGGTTGCTTTTTTAACCCTTCCCTCTTTTAAGGTACGAAAAGAGAGTTTTTTTTTTTTTTTCAAGTTCTGAATTTTGGTTTCACTGATAGGATCACTCAGTTTGAAGTTAGAATCTCATTGTTACTTTTACTGTGAAATTGGAAAGACTTGGAGCTGAGAAGATTTCAGTAAGCCATTGTAGAGTAAGGAGCTAATGGGGTAGATCAAGTGGAGGTCCACAATTGAACTTTTCCATTTCCAAAGCAGAAATTGCCAATATTTTCATTACACTTCACCACCAGGAAGGCAAGTAAATGTGCTTATACATGGAGCAGATTCCAAGGAGAAAAAGAAAAGTTGTGTTTGCTCACATTCGTGGAGAGTCAGCTCTGTGTCTGTGAACTGTGGAGATGGCCAGGCCTGTGTCCTCAGCTCTCTTGATGGGAGCCATCACTGAACCAAGAAGAACCTAGTTAAAAACAAACTGGCTAGGGAGGCCGTTACTATTTGAGAGCTCTGGTTACGAGGACATGAAAGAAGTTGCTGCAGTCTTTCTTACTGTTATCTCATCATATTTAATAAGTAAATCATGTTTGTTTTGGTTAGTTAGCTATCATCCCAGGCTTATTTGTTTAAAGTTGGAACAAAAGAATTGATATAACATTGAGGCTTATGCTATAGTACAATCTTCCCCAGACACTAGGTTCATTCAAGGTTTAAAAGTGAGGGTGATGGAGGGAGAAAAAGGAGTAAGAGAGAGAGAAGGAGGAGGGGAGAGAGCGAGAATGAATACGAATCAGAATGTATGGTTGATTTCAGCGAAGAGGTCTAAGAATCTGTGTTTTTAGGTAGTCTGCCAGGCAATTCCGATTTTGTGAAACTTTGCCTCTAGAAGATGATGTTAAGAAGTACAAACTTGTTAAGGCACCTGGGTGACTCAGTCAGTTAAGCTCCGACTTCAGCTCAGGTCGTGATCTCGCAGTTTGTGGGTTCGAGCCCTGCATTGGGCTCTGTGCTGACAACTCAGCCTGGAGCCTGCTTTGGATTTTTTGTCTCCCTCGCTCTCTGCCCCTCTCCTGCTCCCGCTCTGTCTCTCTCAAAAATAAAATAAAACATTAAAAAAATTAAAAAAAAAAAAAGAAATAGAAAATTGAGATTGTAGATCAACCATGATTCCCGAAGTGGTAGGAATTCGCAAGCCAAGTTTGGGCTTTTGAAACGGATTTGGGTTCCTTTGTCATAAGAAGAAACGCTCAGTTGGTGTGAAGACAACGGCTGGCTGGCTGGCCTGGTAGAGCGATAAACTTTAGGCTTGCCCTCTAAACCCATTTTAGGACAAATGAGTGAGGTAGGTTCTTTCCAACTCTAATTTCTGGAGCTAGAGTGGATGTGCCTCAGTTTTTGTAAACTTCATGTTAACAGTATTAATAAAAGCTATTTGAATTTGGAGAGTTAAATTGGTGCTTTTCCAACAGCCTTTGAGGCTCATCACTTCCTATTTTTTCCATGAGCATCATGTGTTCTCTGGAGCATGAGCTGTAGACGTCATTTTTAAGATTTCTTCATTGAACGGGCCACGTAGTCACCAGACAAATCCTATCAGGGTGTGTGACCGTGCATGAAGTACATCTGAATTTGTTTCACATTCTGCCTAGGAACATGCTATGTGGTTTCCGATTCATTTTTCCCCTTGGTGCCCTATCTGGAGTGGCTGTGAGGGAATCCCTCATCTGAAACATGTTTAATACCTCCTCTCCTGGAGAGTGTTTGCATTTCCAGTGCGAGACATTATAGAATTTCAAGGTGGTGGTTGTCTGTCCATGCCACGTGGGCAGTTCACCTCAGCTGAGTTGCTGCCCTTTAGAGAATTAAACTTTAGTCTTGCCTTTTTATCCTATTTCAATTTTCTGGAAAGGTGACATGCCTGGAGTGTTCTGGGAAGCTGTCCTTCTTCCATCTTCCTAGGTAAATGAGAAGCGGTGACCTACCTGTTGGCTTCTGCCTGGATTCCCGTACAACACGGCCTTGCCATTTTTGCAGATATTCACGTGTCCCAAATGTCGAGTCTGACTTTCAGAGGTTTGGCAGCCAATGGAAGACTGAACCAGAATAGTGTTCTCTAGCTTTCTGTGATCCAAAACCTGTGGGGACTCACCACAACCTGCCTGGGGTATATTTTTGCAGGTGGCAGAAGTCTCTCCCTGGCCTGTGCTTCCACTGTGGCTGGTGGTGGTGATGACAATGGTGATGGTGAGGAGGAGCATGTGGTGGTGGGGCTGCTGTCAGGGAAGGGGGTATTCCTTGTCACAGACTTTGTAATAGGCTGTTACCTTTGTAAGTGCTGAGAGTGTATATATTAGTGGAGTCTCATAGATTTCTTAGCTAACATCTTGCAGCTGAGTTCCCCAGAGCACACTGCACAATGGTGATCTTTTTCATGACGTTTGCAGGTCATGCTGAGCATACGAGGCCTGTTTGTCCCCCGTGCTATAGCCTGCAGACAGCTGTTGGTGATTCTGGCAGCTGCCCTGTTTGCTGGCATCACCCCCATGGCCTTATGGGCTAGAGCAGGTTTCTCCTTCCATTACCTGTCCCACCTGTACCTCCTTTGCTGTCCTAGAGCAAACTAAATTTAGAATCAGATTTCTAAGCTTGAAAAATTACGGGTACTCTACATCAGTAATATTTTACAATTCTAGAATAAGTTTTGTTTTCCAAGTACCTTTGCCTTCTCTTGCCTCTCAGGAGAAAGGGGCCACATTTTTATTTTCTTCATCCTGTAGGTGAAGAAACTGAGGCAGTAGTTAGTGTTGTGGCCAGGAGGAACACGCGGTCCTCAGGACTCCTGTCCTGGTCCCCACTGCTTATCCATACCCCTCACTCCATCTGTCTGTGTGTCTATCTCTCACCAGCCGGGTTTACTCTTCCTTCCACACCCCTTCTTACCCCAGCAAAAAGACAGAGATAATGGCACTTGACAAAGGAATTAACGGTCACTACAGTCTTGTTTGAGGAACCAGGCTTTTATTCTAACATGACTAAGACTTTCCCAACCCACACGTTTCTTTCTTTTTTTTTTTTTTTAATGTTTACTTATTTATTTTTTGAGAGAACGAGCGGGCTAGCAGGGGAAAGGGAATAGAGAGAGGGAGAGAGAGAATGCCAAACAGCCTCTGCGCTGACAGTGGGGCTTGATCATGACTTAGGCTTAAATCAAGAGTCAGATGCTTAACCGACTGAGCTGCCCAGATGCCCTGGACCCACATATTCCTGGAAGTAGTGTAGCCTGCGGAAGAAGAGGGGCTCAGAGCCACCTGCCCGGTGGACAGCCCCCAGCTTTGTGGTGAGTCTGGTCATACTGTCCACTGAGCCCCAAGGCAGCCTGCTTGGCTGCAGGACCGGCTACCCTTAGGCTGCTTTCCTTTGCTGCCTGGGGTTTGTGGGGCAGGAAGAGGTAGTTTTCCTCATACATGCAGGTGGGGATGCATGATAATGGGCAAGACAGGGCTCAGGCTCGTCAGCCTTCCAATACTTTGCTGGCTCAGGCAGCACATTGATGGGTTGGAGTTGAAAGATGTCCGTGTTCTCCCTACAACAAGCCACAATGCTTATTTTGAGAGACATGCGTCTTTTCTACAGCTGATCGTATCTAAGGGAATATAGCTTCCTTGCTTTCTGCCTTGTTAGCATTTCTAACTCCTCTTTTTTTTCCTGTTTATCTAACTCATAGATTTTAATGACCATCATAAATCCAGGCTCCTTTACACCAAGGAGGGTTTTTATCTTTAAAGCAATGTAAAAAAGGGTGGGATAATGCATTGAGACATTTTCTCTTAGGAAGAATTTCTGCACACAATATACAAACGATATTCTCCTTGTTCCTAGTTCGTAGCACTTTTTCTATGAATTTTTATGAGATTTTATGATGAAAGATTCGCAGTGTTTGCAAAACCTTAGCATAACTGGTGGTTTCTAAAGTTGTCTTCCATAGTGTATTGAAAACATAAAAAATGATTGTTTTTGTAAATGTTTCTAATTATTCCCAACAACTTGTGAGGGGAGCGTTAGGGTCCGTGGGTGTCGATAGTGAGCAAGTTAGTTTATGATTTAAATTTGATAAGGAAAAGTTGTATGGTTGATAAGATATTTTAGTGATATCATTCCATAATATACTCTGTGTGATTCAGTCACAAGGACATAGGACACAAGAATATTTTCTTACAGGAAAAGCTGTGTTGCTCTTTTCAACTTAACTTGTGGGAGCTTTGATTTCTTGTGGTCATGCTGCTCTGGTAGTGTATTTTAAGAAATTCTTAAAATATGTAACTTGATAGAGTTTTTCCTAGCCTTCAGGGGAGGCTGGTTCAAAATCAATTACTAGGCTATCATGATAGACCAAGGAAACCACAGGTCAGAACTCCTCATTATATACGCAGATAACCCCTTGAGAGGGTTGTCTTTTTAGACTGGAATGTCTTTATTCATCAGTGTAGACTTGAGAATAGCTCCTTAGTGCTCTGACAAAAGGAGAAAAAATGTTAGTTTTTCTTTCTTTTGAATTGTGCCTTTAGCTTTAGAAATAAAATGACAAAATGAGACTGTGGAAGCAGTCCAGTTCTCCACAGGGATACCTGTACCTCGTATTTACCTGTTGAGATCTATGTTCTGTACTAGCCCAGGTATTGCTTGTAAACCTGTTCATCGGCAGAAATGAAAGCCAAGTAAACAACAACCGGTCTTTGTTTCAGCCACTTCTAAGGATTCCAACAGCCTCAAAGCAAGACCAAGATCCAGGTAGTATGTGTTTAATTTCTGCTTTAATGCCCTTCGTATCCTGTCTCTGACTAGAAACAAAATCCCACAACCTGGAGTCCAGCCTACGATCTCCTTTTCCTTTAGATTTGCAGCTTAGGCTATGGGTGAGTGCCCTCATCCTGAGGGGCCTGACCAGAGCCTGCGGCGCTGCTGGGACACTCTTACTTTCTGTGTCTCTTAGTGCTGGAAGGTGGTGGCTGCTGCTGGCCAGTCGACTAACAAGAAGTGGCTTCTGTGATATGGCCCACCTGTTGCAGGATGATAAGAAATAGGGGGCAGTGGCTTTGGAGAGAAGGAAAAGGGGTGAAAAGGTAAACTCACTGAAATTGACTGTCATGGCAAGGTTGACACCAAAAAGACACAGGAGGTGTAAAATCTAGGGTAGGAAAGGCAAATGCTCACAGTGATTTTAAAATGAGCTTTGAAGCTTTAGGTAAGCAGTGCTTACGGTCTGTTTTAGCCTATCTTAGAGCCTCTTTTTTGGAGTCACAGTTTTTAGGTCAGTAGAGGCGAGTAGAAGAGGGAGAGCCAGTAAGGCAGGGTTGCAGTGACATCAGACAACAGAGTGGAAGATGGAGGAGAAATACAGAAACATGGATAGAACCTCAGAGAAGGACATGGTACTGGGGGCACTTTTCAGTGGCAGGAATACAGTAGGAGCTAGGACAGTATGTTTGTGGCTTCCAAGTTTTGCTCTGGCTTTTAGGGACTTTTTTCTTCTTTTGGCTGCTTAGACACATTCCTGAAGAAGTGAAATTAAATCTGATGCTTGAAATACCAACATTTAAGGAAATCTCGTCTTTGTGTATATCTAAGAGTTATCCCTTAGTCTATCTTTTATATCTAGATTTCCTAAATTGGGGATTTGTTTCCTTGTTTATAGAAGGTACAGCTATCTATAGTCCTGTTGTTTGAAACAACAGAGTAATTCTTTTTGGCAGGGAGAACAGATACAATCACTGTTTTTCTCTATGACTACCACATTTACCCATCCTTTCTTCTTGTTGTTGTTTTTTAAGGATGAATGGATCTTTTGAAATTAGTCTCTACTGGCTTTAAGATGTAGGAATAGTAACATTTATCTGCCCTCAGAGTAGGAAAACCCTTGGAATCGCAGGAATCTGCTTACGTGTGCCATGTTAACTGTAAATTGAACCTCACATTTTTTTTCTGTTGACTTCCTCTTTTCTCAAAGCGAGTGAAAGTACAAAGTTTCATAGTCACATTTCTATTAATATCTCTGGCCTAATTTCCTATATTATTCTTTAAGGATTTGGTGTCCTAGTCTGATTTGAACCTTTTTATTTTCACTACCCCCCACTGGCTCTTGACTGAGACTGAGAGAATCAAATTATTTTTATTTTTATTTATTTATTTTTATTTTCCCTTTTAGAATAATAAAACTTTATAGAAATGTGAGGGGAAGAGGGAAAATCCCCATCCTAACGTCACTTACATTCATTATTGTGTTGATTCCCTGCACATTTGTATTTAAATTGGTTGTAGTCAGAGTTTTCCAGTATTGCTCATTTGATATTCCGTTCGCTTTCCATATGAAAATATAAATACATGGGTTACATATAGAAATAAAATGGAATGAGATATGTGGGGTGGGATGGTGTGCCTGACTATATATGTGTGTGTGTGTTTGTGTACACACGCGCACATTATTTTTTTCTTTCTTGACTGAAAAATGTCACTAAAGCTCTGTCTGGCATAAAGTTTGTTTAATTTCTAGCTAGAGTCTCTCACTTCCTTTTTAAATCAGGAGTTCCCATTTGAAATTGTGTTCTTTCTTATCAGTTTCCTCTGACTCGGCTTGAACGTACCAGAGCATTCTTCATGCTGGTTCCAGCATGCCTTTGCCTTGCCCGTCATGCCACTTATTGTACAGGGACCACCCCAGAGCACGTCACATGCTGTTAAGGTGGCCTTATTAAAGGTTCCAACCTTGCATGACAGACAAAGCTCTTCAGCTACCACAAAGAAACCCTTGAGGGAATGATTCAGGAAGGTAAAATCTTGCTATGCCCAAACCAACTTTACCAAGAATTGAAATTGCTTAATAGTAATAGATTCTGATTTTATAAATGCCTCCCTCATAGCTAAATTCTAATGACAGTTTTCTGAGGTTAATTTGTTTCCAGAACATATCTCTGACTCAAAGGTCATTTTATTCTTTGACATGAACTTAGCCGAGAAGCTGAGTAGAATGGAATATACACATCTGCTTTTTAGAAAATCATACTGGGAACTCATCCACAAACGTATTTCTAAGCAATAGACTAATGTACTGAGTTGAATTAATTTAGAAAATAATTAGGTCTCTCAGTAGTTTAGCCGCTGCTACCAAAAGATTTCTTTCCTGGCTCATAGGCAGTATCAGAATATTTTAAAAATGGAATTTAGAAACAGATTGGAGTTTTAATCGAGCCTGTGTAACTTTTTAGCTACGTGACCTAGCTATTTATTTCCTGTTTCTTTAAATGTCATTATTGGAGTTACAATCTCAGAAGTTGCCTAGTTAGCTACTGACTTGTTACATACAGATGGAGGGAGAAGGTTAAGAGGAGGCTTTTGCTTTGAAAATTTTCCCCAAACTGTTCTTTCTCATGGTGAGACAGCCTAGAGCCCTCCATCTGACTGATGTGTTTTTCTTTCCCGAATTTCACTTGTGGTGTGTTCCCCTGAGCATCGGATACTTACTCTCGGGTTATCGGTCCCATCTCCATAGGTGCCTGTCTGTCATGGCGCTAGCTCGTAAACAGGAGGAAACTTCTGCAGTCTGTTAATACCGTGCAGCCCTTCTGTAACAACATGGAAGTACCTAAGCAGAAGGTTTACATGTTGTTCTTATTAACGGTGCCAATAGAAACTGGTTTGAATTTAGCTTTTCCTTTGGGTAAATTTAGGTCTAAGATATAATATGAACAAAGAGGTTAAAAAAGTTTCCGATTCATGGGTTGGGGTGTGGGCAGTTACTGCAGATACTGGCACCCAAGGGACAGTACAATTCATTGTTGTTTCTAGCTGGGAGCCAGTCAGCCCTTTGTAGTGGGTATTTCCATTCCAACCCTACTTCAGAGACTAAAGCTTTGCTGTCTCCCTTCTGACCTCTCCTTATTTTGCTGCAGATCTTACTCTAGCACCTCCATAGAAGAGGCCATGAAAAGGGGCGAGGACCCTCCCACCCCGCCACCGCGGCCACAGAAAACCCACTCCAGAGCCTCCTCCTTGGATCTGAATAAAGTCTTCCAGCCCAGTGTGCCAGGTGAAGTGTCCCTCTGCACCCCAGTCTTTCCTTTGCCTGTTGGAGTCCGTGGATGTGTGTCTGCCGCGGAGGCCTTTGTGAATCCACAGAGCGAGCAGACCTGGCCGTTCCCCATCCTGGGAAGGTCTTCAAGTTGCTGCGGTATTCCTGGGAGGGAAAGCAGTTCTAGGCAGATAGATCTCCCATGTGAGCCTTGCCCACACTTGCTATGGACCAACAATTACGAAATTCTGTACCGAGAGGATTAAAATACTTAAACCCCAGATAGCCCACTGAGTGCACGGCTGGGGTCTTGTTCTCTGCTGCATTGTGGCAGTTTATATACAAGATTACTATCTGTTACTTCCTCGACCCTTATGCGGTTCTTCTGTGAAAGATCTTGGTGATCAACACCCGGCCAGAATCTTCTCCTGTGTCTTACTCTTGTGGTGAAGATCCTGTGTCCTGGCGGGTTTAATGCTGAGGGGGCTCTGCTTTATAAATCTGACGGATGGCTAGCTGGTTGGTGGAGGGGGTTAAGGCCAGGGCTCCTCCAGGTGGCCTGCTGTGGGGCTTCTGGGGCTGGGACCTCTCGAGGCAGCTGTTGTACAGCTGGGTGGGGGCGGGGGGAGGTGGGAGGGCCCTGTCTGCTTCCCTGGCCCCCTGTGGAGCGGGAAGGCTCCTCCTGGGGAACTTAGAGCACAGCAGATGAGAGCCATGCCTTTGCTTTAGTGAAGGTGCTAGGAGGCAGTGCCTTCCCAAGTGTTATTTTGGGAGCAGCAAGGGCCATTCCACTGACTAATGTAGGCAAGCTATAAATACAGTGATTTCCTGGAACTTTTTCTATATCTGTGTGCATTTTAAATCAAGCCAGCTTCAGATGCTAGTGATTTGCAGATTATGATCTTTTCTACTAAAGCAAGAAAAGACTCTCTTTGGCTCACACATTAGCATGACCCCTGTGTCCCAGCAGAGCTCAGCATGTTTCAGTTGTTCTAATAAACTAGTCTCCTCACAGTGAAGTTACAGATTGTTTTTTAATGTACTAGAGTCTGGAACTCTCTATGAAATTCGATTCTTTGCCATGAGTTCATCAGATAAAAATTTGCCTTGCATTTCCCCCCATACTTTGATCCGAATTCTGGCATAATTTCATAGTAACTGGTATTTGAGGTGGGAGTAGCCACAGATGATGATGCTATAAAAATTTCACATGGCTGGTGGATTATGACCTAGAAGATTTTTCTATGCATGCAAGAAGATTAAAACAATCTGGGCAGCTATTGAAATACGGTTTCCTTGCAAGGAGAGGCTGGAGAGGCTGGAAGCGTGCAAGCACCTCTCTGGCCGTGCAAGGCCACGAGGAGTGCCAGCTGTGCTGGGGAATGGGTGTGTATGGCTCTTACGGCATTGCATCATAGAGTGGAAGAGACCAGACTGGATTTGGAGTCCAGCTCAGCTGCTTATTAACTGTTTACTCTTCAGCAAGTGGCTTACTTTTTCTACACTTCAGGTTTTAAATCTGTAAAATAGGGTCAGCTGTCCGCAGAGTTGTATGGTTTTGGCGAGATGATAAACATGATCCTACTAGCAGCATGTTTGATCCATATGCACTCCTTTGCACAGAAGATCACTGAGGAAAGGGAGTCTGACCCTCTCGACCTCCAGCGGGACAGTTCCTCGGTGGGCTCACAGAGGGACCGAGCCCCAGTTGCTTGCTGTAGTAGAAATACGGGATTGTGAAAAACGAGCAGTGAGGCTAGATTGCTGAGTCAGAGTGGCCTATGGTGGAAGGATTGTGTGGAGAAGAAATAGGATGGTGAGATGATGCAGAGAAGCAGGAATGAAGGAGGGAAGTGAAGAAAATGATGGAGTGATAGTTACATAGGAGCGCTGATGTTTATGTAAAGGGAGGGGAAGGAAATAGAATAAAAGATTGTAGCTACCAAGGGGAGGAAAGCCCACAGACTCGGTGTTGGACTTGGGTGGGATTTAAGGGAAGAACTTAGAAGAGGGTGACATTAATGCCTTCAAATTTATGAAGATAGGTAACATGATATGGGAAAGAATAACACATGGCTGATTTCAGTATTTTATTTTTTTTAAAGTAATCCCTACACCCAGCATGGGGTTCACACGCACAACCCGGAGATCGAGAGTCATATGCTCTACTGCCTGAGCCAGCCAGGTGCCCCGTGAAGGGCTGATGTAGAATGTAAATCTTATAAAAAATGAACAAGGCCGCTTTGGCAGCCAGGGACAATTGGTTTTACCTTTGATATCTGCAAGAACAGTCTGAACTTATATTCACAGGAGTCTAGATTGTTCCAGGGCTCTAGATAGGTAGGTGCTGGTATTACACCTAAAGGCGTATGTTTTCATAGGGAGGCTTTGATATGGCACGATGGCTGTGTGTAAAAGGGAGATCAGGTCATCTTTGTAAAAGTTGATCCAGGTGGTGGAGCCATCCTCTCAAGGCCTGAACAGCTGCTGTGTTGGAGAGAAAACAAAAACGTGTAAGAAAATCTCAGTGATGATGCAAGTGTACAAAACCCAGATGCAGTCAAACCTGGGACTTGTTTAGTGATGTTTAGATTTTATGGCTCGATGCATATAGCCCCAAATCATTTTATTACTGAAATTCCTGTAAGAAAAATCACACTGTGAAGGCACTACTTTTTAGAACCTCACCTCCTTTTCCTCATTGAAACAGTTTTCATCAAGCAGTTTTTTCATAACAGGGGTTTCTTTTGTTCCACTCCCCTCCTTCCTCTCTCAGCAGTGACCTGCCCCAAAGCCATGCCTAAAGCTTGCAGCCGGAGGTTGCTGCAGTGCTGGTGAACCCCCTTCAGGCCCCAGATAGTTCTGTTCAAGTCACTGAGCATCTGCCTGGCAGAAGGGGCAGGGACTGTGTGGAGGAGACACAGCCATCCCTTTAAAGCTGCAACCAGAACCTTCATCACTTCCACTCAGCTCTTAACTGGGGAAACCTAGTCCCATGGAGATAGCTGGCTGCCAGGCAGCTGGGCGGTATAGTCCCTGGGAGGGTAGCTGTTTGCCATTGACCTTTCTCTTACTGTAAAAGATGAGAGTGGGTGTTGGTGGACAGCTCTTTCCACCACCTCCCATATGGTCAAATTCATTGAGATCCACATGTTCAAACCATTGTGATGGCCGAACAAAATACATCCATGGGTAGATGCTACCCATGCATTCTAATGTTTTATCTCTGCTTTAGACATACTGATAATAAAAATCCACTCCAGGGTTAGGAAATTATAGCACATCCGTATTATGATTACTTAGGAAGCAGTTAAAAAGAATAAGGTATGTGTGCTAAGTGGAGAGCTATGTGAGATAAGTGAGGAAGGCACAGTGCAGAATATGTATGTTCTTCTTAAGTGTATAGGCAGCTTCCAGAAGGCTACTGAGGAAAGTGGTAACAGTGGTTGCCTCTGGGGAAGAGAATAGGATGACTGGGGACAGAAGTGAGAGAGAAACTCACTTTTCATTGAACACCCACTTATATCTTGTTTTTTAAGTTTATTTTGCAAGCACAAATGGGGGAGGGGCAGAAGGAAGGAGAGACAGAATCCCAACCAGGGTCCACGCTATCAGTGCAGAGCCTGATGCCCGGCTTGAACTCATGAGCTGTGAGATGACCTGAGCCAAGATCAAGAGTTGGATGCTTAATTGACTGAGCCACCCTGGTGCCTCCCCCTAGCACTTGTATCTTTTACATTTTGTCTCATATACAGATATTTTATTATTGTTTTTAATGTTTTATTTATTTTTGAGAGAGAGTGTGTGTGAGTGGGGGAGGCACTTGGAGAGAGAGGGGAAGTGGGTAGAGGATCCAAAGCAGGCTTTGCACTGACAGCAACAAACCCCGATGCAGGGCTTAAACTCATGAACCCAACCGTGAGATCATGATCTGAGCCGAAGTTGGACGTACAACCAACTGAGCTGCCCACGTGCACCCTGATATTTTAAAAATTTGACCTTTTACTCTGTAGTCGCAATGACCACATGGTACCTGAGAGCACCAGAAATACCCTTCCTCTTGAGTTTACCTGTCTCAGAGTTGCCTACTTTTCTGTATCCAGGGTATTTTAATGACCAATCTGCTGCCTCTTTCTAGAATGCACCTGAAATAACAGAAGCATTTTAGAACATGCTTCACGCCTCTGATACGTTCTTTGGATTCCTCTTGAGTGCCCGTCCAATACTGAGGAATAGTTTTAGACGACTTTCTCTAGCCTCCATTGTGAGATATACAGATGGGCAAAATGTGATAAGGGCTCTCTCTTAACTTGGAATGGGGGTGTAGTTTTTAGTTGACAAGCTGTGACGAATCTGTGTGGAGTTTTCTACAAATGAGTATTTTCTTCTGCAACTTGAAAAATATGTAAGCCCCTTGGGAATAAGAGATAAAACATCCCTTACCAAACGTAACCGTTCAAATTCTCCAAAGGATGAATTTGCTCACACAGATGGCTTTGACCTTATAGATTTCCTTACTGTATCATTCATATGAGTGCTACTTGTTCCCTTTTTAAAATTTAGTAGGATTATGGCATTCCTGCCCCATCTCCCAAACCTTTTGGTCTACAGTATACATCCAGCTAATGCTTCAGTTTGGCAGTCTGGACAATTTTATTTAAATGAAAGCTTTATTGAGATAAAATCCACACAGTATAAAATTTGCCCCTTAAAAATTTTTTTTTAATATTTGTTTTTTGAGAGAGAGGGAGGGGCAGAGAAAGAAGAAGACACAGACTGTGAAGCAGGCTCCAGGCTCTGAGTTGTCAGCACAAAGTCCGACATGGGGCTCGAATTCACAAACAGTGATAATCATGACCTGAGCCGAAGTCAGATGCTTAACCGACTGATCCACCCAAGCGCCGCTAAAATTCTCCCTTTTTTAAGTATACAGTTCAGTGGCTTGCAGTGTATTTATACTGTTGTGCAACTACCAGCATTATCTAATTTTAGAACATTTTCCTCACCCCAAAAAGAAA